GTGCATCCACACCGCTGCTTTTCATCAAGGACACATTTGTCCCGTATTTTCCTCCACAACTTTGTTCCTCTCGACCGGCAAACCGGCGTTTGCGGCGATCTCCCTCCGTGAATCCAACCCGCTTCTAAACCCGCCAATGGCGGCTTGTAGAAGCGCTCATATTTACGCATTTATTCCCACAAAAGCTCTTCAATCTGATCCGATCTCTCGTAAACATTCCTCGTTTTAATAATGTCGGTATCGGGCTGTGAAAGTGGAAACGTGAGACTCCGTAAAGGACGCAGTTGGCGGAACAAGTCCAGGAGGAGACACTTTGAAGGAGAAGCCAATGACGTTCAAATGCACACAAGAAGACACCTCAGGAGTCTTCAAAGGACCAAAGCGGGGAAACGACTGTTACAATTCTCCTGCAGCCGCTTTGATAAGGCACTTTAGACTTGACTCAGAGAATTCTATATTTCGCGAAATATTCCACTGTTTTTCACTTTGTAACTGTGTTCCTTATCACTTTGTTTAGTCATTAAATACTTTTTGATTTTTAAATTTGAGCAAGTTGACTCTTTTGATTCTTCGTTTCCGGCCGGGACGAGAACAAAGGAGTGAGGCCTCCTTCGAGGGCTTTCCCAACCCGCAACGCTATTAAATGCAGAACAATCGTGATTAATCAAGTTCAATTTATCCATCTCTCCTAGCACAAATACATACCATATCATATTTGTACAAAATACATTATACTAATACATTTTTAATATATTGTGCCTGGAATAAAGTATTACCTGTTTAATCACTACGAAATCAGTGTCTTCATTTGTCGTATTAATTCAATAAGTCACATAGTGATCAAATCCATCCTCAATAATACAAACGTGTCACATGAAGGTAAATGTTAAGAGAGAAGCAGATTAAATACACACAGCATACAAGGTACACACACTTCTCAGCATTCTGTCTATGCAGTGAACACTCTTTTATTTCATAATGTGATCACTGAAGAGGTTGTTAATGCTGCTACATGTCGTGATTATTAGTGACCATTGAAAAGTCCTGAGGAGAGTTCTCTAAAGTGAGAGAAATAAGCTGTAGGCTGACTTCTGAGCGGACCGACGGCCTGCTGGCCGGGTCCTCTCGTCTCATCGTCTCTCGGGTGAAACCACAAGAACCACTCAGGTTCAAAACAAAAGTGTATCAAGCAGCGAAATCCAGATGAGGTGATTTATGAAATGCGAGTGTGTAAAGTGTGAAACATGTTGGACTGTTGTTCCAGACGCTCGTCCTCCTGTTCAGTAGTCGAGATCATCAGCGTTCACCCTGTTGCCTCGTCTAAGTCAGGAGGGCCGCACTTTAGGCCTCTGTGAGTACATGAATATGTGGTAGAACACCTGTGAACACGCGTGTGCGTGTACTCCAGTGCTGTGGAGTCAGTTTACGCTGTGAATAAACAATGAGGACATGTGAAGGACCGACGTTATGAGGCATGATGGGACATATCTAGCAGCTTGGGGACCAATGGGTGTCCATCAGGGAGCAGATGTTCAACTAGAAGACGATACCTGTTCCATCCACCAGGGGGCGTCACGTGATCACACTACTAACTACTGATAACAACCAGGTTCTCTGCATCTGCACCGCTGCAGTAGTTCCCACACGTTTTATGTCAGGGCCCCTTTGAGGAAACAGACTCATTGCAAACCTGCCCCCCACCCCCCGAAATATAGGGACAATCCTTTGTAAAGCGAGGTATTTATTGGCAGTCACACTACTAACCACAGTTAGAGATGGTCCAAACCGTGGATTTTCCCGCCATACAAAGCCCCCTATTCATTGGTCCGTTGGTGTAAGGACGTGATTGGTCTTCGATGTCAGGTGATGGGTTTCCGGAGGGAAATTTGTTTACCGCAGTGAGGAACGTGTAGAATGGAAGTGACTCAAAGTCTCATACACTTGTACCGGTGTATTCTCAGTAACGGTGCACTTCAGGTCCGTTTAGACACGTGAACGCAGCTTTACAGAGAGAAGAACGAACCGACGCCTCGTTTGGGAGTTTTATTTCATTCTTAACTTTGTAAATGAGTTCTGATGAACTTCACTGACTGAGGAGTTTACTTGTTGAAGAGCTTCAGGTCACATGAATCAAGACGTCCAAGGTAAAGAGAGAATGACTTCATGTTGTTATGATCATATTAACATTTATTACGTGACGATTCCACAAGATATTTAAGGGTAATAAAGCTGTTTTGTTCATTTCAGCGAATTAAAGTGTGAAATGATCAAATTGATTGAAGACCGATCAGAATATAACTGATCCATCACAAATCAGCTGTATTATTTAGTAAAGAATTATTGTCAACAACAGCTGGAGGTTGTGTGTTATTTGTTATAAACGTTGGTACGTAGATGTTCACACTGCTTCATTGATGACAATAAGAAGCTGATGTGTTGGAGGAAACATGAGGTTTGCATGAAGCGAGTTTACACGCGCGAAAGTCGGATATCCCCCCCCCCCTCCGAAGAGGGCGTGGCGTCAGAATGAAGCACTCAGGTTGACTTTCAGCGGCGACTCCAGGAAGCGCGTCTGGATGACTGCGGCTTGGTTTTCGATAGACCGCGACGGGCGAATATTTATAATATTTTGAAAGAGCGATTTATTCACTTCGCTCGTTTAAAATTCGCCTCATTCGCGACGCGTCTGTGCATTGACTTTACATGGAATCTACTCGCGCGAAAAATTCGCTTCGCTTCTGGTGTGAACGCACCATTAAAGAAAGTCTGTTAACTTTAACTGCAGTTTATACTTATTTGATGTGACTATGAGTGAAACATCTCCAGGAAAACCAGCTTCACTTTGTGGTTGTAGTTCTCCTGGAGGTTGTCATCAGCATGAAAGCTTTGTGTGTTTGTAACAAGCATGATGAAGAACACAAAGAGCATCAGGATGTGAAGACACACTGTAGATTGTTGGTGTGATGATGATGTTTGAGCGTCTTCTCCTCTGTCTCCTCTCACAGGGAGGAGATGATCTGCAGCATCCTGGTGATCTTCATCCTGACCTCCTGTGTCTGTGGTCAGTTCACTTTTGTGTTTGTGAAGCAGCTGTGAAGCATCAGCACACACTCCTCAGAAACATCTGGAGATGGAGTCTAAAGGCTCCATGTTAAAGCTGTCACTTTGTCACCTCCTCCTCTCCTTCTCTGTCTCCTCAGCAGGGTCATTTGTAGTGAATGTGACACAGAGCTGGTATCATGCAGAGGAGAACCACAACATCTCACTGGAATGGATGTTCCCCACCAGCACGGACCCCTCCCCCAACGCCCTTCATGTCTCCTGTGAGATGGAAGCTGATGAGAAACGAGTCCTGTTTCATCTACATAACGGTGTTGAGTACAAAAAGCATGAGCGCTTTGCAGGACGAGTCCAGTGGGACAAAGACGTCCTCAGAGAAGGACGACTCAGACTTCACATCTCCAGACTCCAGACTAATGACTCGGGGCAGTACAGGTGTGAAGTGTCCTCAGGTAATGAGAGGAACTCTAAGGAATGTCACCTCAATGTCACTGGTAGGTTCATTAAGTTAAACTTACTAACACGTTTAATTCAGCAGCTTTATTCAGATAAATAAACCTTTTTCTTTACAAAGCTGTCACTTTGTCACCTCCTCCTCTCCTTCTCTGTCTCCTCAGCAGGGTCATTTGTAGTGAATGTGACACAGAGCTCGTATCATGCAGAGGAGAACCACAACATCTCACTGGAATGGATGTTCCCCACCAGCACGGACCCCTCCCCCAACGCCCTTCAAGTCTCCTGTGAGATGTTAGCTCCTGAGAGACCTTTAGTTCTGTTTAATCTACATGAAGGTGTCGAGGTCCCAGAGATTCGAGATGAACGCTTTGCAGGACGAGTCCAGTGGGACAAAGACGTCCTCAGAGAAGGACGACTCAGACTTCACATCTCCAGACTCCAGATTAATGACTCGGGGCGGTACGGATGTCTAGTGGACACAAGTTATGGGAGGAACTATAAGGAATGTCACCTCAATGTCACTGGTAGGTTCATCAAGTTAAACTTACTAATGATAATGAAACAGCCCTCAAGGAGGAATTGGTTCTTTCTTTGTTGACCACTTTCAGCTGATTAATACTCCTGTATGTGCAGATGTCAACACGAGTGTATTTTGTTATAATAAAACACAGCGATTTTATCTTTAATAGAGAACTAAATTAATTAATTGAAACATCAAGATGATCAAACAGCTTAATATGCAACTCACACATTCAATGAGCCTTTAGGTTATTGTTGTTTATTTCAACATGACAATGATGTTTTCTTCACAGCTGCTAACGAGCCCGACCCAGTGACATTAGAGCCAGCACCGACCACTCAGGTTTATTAAGTTAAACTTTATTCAGATAAATAAACCTTTTTCTTTACATGAATAAACTGATTTGTTGTGTCTCTTTGCAGCAGTGAAGGATCGACCCGAACCTGAGACAACGAGTGACACCAGACTGAGAGAAGATCCTCGGGGAAGGATCGTTCTCTACTGTGTACTGGGACTGACAGCAGCTCTACTGGTTCCTTTATTTTATCTCTGCTTTGCAAACAAGACCAGTGATCATCAGAACAAACGATACACCAGAAACACAATTCAAGTTATTGATCCTTTAAGTGTTTGTACAGAAACAGTCTGAGTTGTTCTGACTGAAGTCAACGGGGTCGTCGTGGTGCAGAGGTTAGAGAAGGTGCGCTGGGAAGCACAAGGTTGGTGGTTCGAGTTCAGGCTGTTGAAGTGTCCCTGAGCAAGACACCTAACCCCTAATTGCTCCCCGGGCCAAATGTGAAAAAAGCCGCGTCTGCTAAATGACCTGTAATGTGATGAAGTCCAGCTGAGACGCATCACTGCATGATTGTAAGTCAATGGTGACATGAAGTGTCAGGGAGACTGTGGGTGTAGAGTCCAATCAGAGGATCAACGGTTCCATCCCTGCTGACCCGCGTGTTGATGAGCCCTTGAGCAAGACACTTAACCCAGCATTGCTCCTGTAGCTGTGACCACAGAGTGAGAATGGAGTGAATATTAGTTACTGACGGCAGGAAGCTGCTCATCAGTGTGTGAGAGGATCAATGATCTTATATATTTATATATAATATATAAGACGTAAGTTGGAGGAATGGATGAAAAAGTGGACGTTAAAAGTAATTTGTGTCATTGTGTAACTTCTCAACCTGCATCCCTGAAAGTGTTTTTCTTTTGTTTTGTTTTTAATCTGACTGAGATTCAAAGGAAATCCACAATCTTTACAGACTGAAGTGTTTTTTTTGTTCAAGACCTTCAGCTCCTCTAACAGAGACTCTGACTACTGAACATATTCTGCATTAAGCATCATTTTGCTCGTCATCAAAGACTAATGTTTCATCTGGTTTCTGCTTCAGAAAGAAAAGGAGAAGCCGTAAAGCCCTTTATGAAGAGAAATAGATCCTCACGCTGCCTCAATACTGCATTTTGCACATAATGAGATTAATCGTTAACCACAGAAAAATTGTGCGATTTATCAAATTATATTTCTTCATCTTTTCCTAACATTAATACATACCATTTCATATTTGTACAAAAAATACACTGTTACATTTTATTTACTATCATACTTGTATCTTTGAATATATTGTGCCTGGAATAAAGTATTACCTGTTTAATCACTACGAAATCAGTGTCTTCATTTGTCGTATTAATTCAATAAGTCACATAGTGATCAAATCCATCCTCAATAATACAAACGTGTCACATGAAGGTAAATGTTAAGAGAGAAGCAGATTAAATACACACAGCATACAAGGTACACACACTTCTCAGCATTCTGTCTATACAGTGAACACTCTTTTATTTCATAATGTGATCACTGAAGAGGTTGTTAATGCTGCTACATGTCGTGATTATTAGTGACCATTGAAAAGTCCTGAGGAGAGTTCTCTAAAGTGAGAGAAATAAGCTGTAGGCTGACTTCTGAGCGGACCGACGGCCTGCTGGCCGGGTCCTCTCGTCTCATCGTCTCTCGGGTGAAACCACAAGAACCACTCAGGTTCAAAACAAAAGTGTATCAAGCAGCGAAATCCAGATGAGGTGATTTATGAAATGCGAGTGTGTAACGTGTGAAACATGTTGGACTGTTGTTCCAGACGCTCGTCCTCCTGTTCAGTAGTCGAGATCATCGGCGTTCACCCTGTTGCCTCGTCTAAGTCAGGAGGGCCGTACTTTAGGCCTCTGTGAGTACATGAATATGTGGTAGAACACCTGCGAACACGCGTGTGCGTGTACTCCAGTGCCGTGGAGTCAGTTTACGCTGTGAATAAACAATGAGGACATGTGAAGGACAGACGTTATGAGGCATGATGGGACATATCTAGCAGCATGGGGACCAATGGGTGTCCATCAGGGAGCAGATGTTCAACTAGATGACGATACCTGTCCCATCCACACGGTGCATTTTCCCGCCATACAAAGCCCCCTATTCATTGGTCCGTTGGTTCATTGTAAGGATGGTGATTGGTCGGTTGATTCATTGGTCCGTTGGTTCATTGTAAGGATGGTGATTGGTCGGT